GTTCATGTACGCCCTTGCCAGCTAAAGACCTTAGATCTAGGATTTTTTGTTGCTGAAGTGGTTCCCAAACCATCTGTTTGTTTTGGTTAATCCCATGTTTGTCCTAAAAAAACAAGGCCAAACAGTCACACAAAGGGGTACCCCGATCCTTTCTAGTCTGACTGTTTTGGCGTCCGCTTCAATGTCAAGCTTCGTTTGGCTAGATTTAAATTCCAAGATCAAAGCCGCCTTTACTCTTGAAGGGTGCTACATCTAGATCTACGAATCTGAAATTAATCCTTGGCAATACTAAATTTAGAATTGGCTGAAGTACTGGGAATCCGTGATTAAATCTTAGCAAAACTAAATGTAGAATTGGCATTTCGAAATGAATTACTGGGAATCTGAGATTTAATCTTGGTCATACTAAAATCAACAATTGCAATTCTAAATTCAGTACGAGGAAGCTGGGATAGAGTCTTGGCAATACTGAATTTTGAATTGGTAAGCCTGTAAGCCATTCCATGAAAGAGGCTCCGAATGACTGTTGGCACTCTTTCGGGGAAGTGTCATCTAGGTCCTCCGGTAGAGAGGTTAGAATAAGGGTACCCTTTTTTGTTGTAGTCTATTTTAGCAGAAGAACCCTGCCCCAAAAAAGGGGAGAGAAGGGCACTACTGGAGGACCTAGGTCACATGAAAGAGGGTCGGACATTACTGGAGGCCCTTGGCATCGAACCGGAAATCTCGAAGCTCCAAAACACAAATCCCTGAGAGAATCCTGTTTGCTTGGTGTTAAAGGAAGCCCAAAAGGAAACCACCCATTTTGAGGGTCCCCGACAAAAGACACACCCAATTGTTGTCAAGCTGAGTTGCTGCCAACTCCGCAACTCTTGGGGACAAATCAGGGGAGGGGGGAGACTAGGTCGGCAATGGCCTCTCAAAAGCAGGAACAGAAAGAGGTATTCATTGCCAGCGTCTTGCCGAAAAGAAAACTAAAATTAGGGGGACATTGTCTGGTGCTTAACGCGAATTGAAAAGGGGGTCCAAAAAGGCTCCTAGACCCCCACCCCAAGATACAAAAATGCGCCGGAAGGGGGGGCCTGCGACCATGGGAAATGTGTCTTTGCCAACCAAATGCACCGTCAAACCGTGTGGATGAAAGCAATCAAGAGTCGCAGGGGGTACTTCTCGCGAGCTCAAAGGCACATGAATTGCATCGCAGGGGAAGGAGGCAAACAGAGCTCTCCGTGGCTTGCAAAGCTCTAAAAATATCCAGTTGGTTCAGGGAACTGACATAAACAGAAAATTGACCCGTGAGGGAAGGACACCAACATACACCAACCATTCTAGGGGACCGATTCCTACTGTTGAGACAGGCCCCAAATGGGTGGTGTTGGAGGGCACCCTTTTTGGAGGGCAGCGAAATCCGGCTTAGCTGCGCGATCAAAAGGACGCCTATGCCAGAATGAGGCATGAAATCCCTATCTACACTTGTGTCTACCCAAACCTCTCCGATCAAAACGGACGCCAAGCTTTGCGCCATAATTTTTGGAGCCTCCGTCCGCTCCCTCTCCGAGCGGCAGATCAGAAGGCAGCTCATCGCCTCGGGCGGCGAAGTTCATGGGGGGGTGGGGGGAGGTGGACTGGAGGCAGGGGAGGGAGGGGAGGGAGGGAGGGGGGGGGTGGGGGAGGTGTTTCTTTTTTTGGGGGGGTGGGGGAGGGGGGTGGGGAGAGGGGAGGGGGGGTTGGGTGGGTAGGGGATTTGGCTTTTTCTTTTTCTGTGTGTGTGGGTATATAACTCGGAATGCGGCCAAGCACTTTATCACTGTTGCTTTTGTTCCGCGGTGCCCTTGGTACAATTAGCCCATATGACACATGGCTATTAGGCTATGGGTGGTTATAAGGGAGCACCCTCCCAAATGGTTGGTGGGCATACATCCCGACCTAAATGATGTCCACCAAAGGGTCCCGGATAAAAAATCATACCCAAGCCAATCATGAGGTCGATGAGCCAACCAAATGATCAGATTCAGCAAGTTCTTTGGGAGCTGGTGGCTGGAGTTGATGGCGAACCCATGCTCAAAGCACGGGCTGGACAAATGTGGGACAGCGCAGGGTCCGGCCAACCCCAAGAGAAGCGGGTGACGAAAGCTAGCCACGACATGTACGACCGATCCAGTTGCCAATATTAAGAATACCAATCATATATATGAGCATTCAGAAAGTCATTCAGACCCAAGCTCGGACCAGGTCCTAATGAGACAGATTCCCAGCTGCGAGCATGTGAACGAACATTTTGCAATATGCTCATGCGGGGCGACCTATCTTCCGGCAAACTTCTACTACGAAAACGACTTCCGATGTCATCATGCGTTATGTCAAGATCGCCGTGGTACTCCTCCAGTGCACAAATAAGTCTGTCAACGAACATGAAGACAACAGACGAGTCAAGCAGACAGAGACGTTGAACATGTTGAACGTTTTGACGACGAACAGGGGAGACATTAGCAGGAAGACGAAGATACACCAGTGGGAGACCTTGCGATGGCAAACAGGCCCAACATCCACAATCTCACACACACACACACAACTCCGCACACATCCTTCGCCTCAACAAGGCCAATTACTTTTTGGAAGATTGCTCCAGCACAGAGATCGTGAAAGAAGTATCGAGAGGCTTTATCCAGGCGGGATTTCGTGGGATAGTGGTGAAGCAGGACAATGCAAAGAGCGATTGGATGCTTTGTGAAGGGCAACAGCACGGCGCAACAGCTCCATTCACAGCAACTATTAGGCCATCACGATGGGAATCTTCAAGCGCTGTTTTGGCATCGCAAATGGACAAGGCGATCCCAATTACACACGAACTACACATGAACGCTTGTCACGCACGTACCAAAGACTGGAAGAAAGATCAGCTCCCGCCGAACACGAAAATGGTTTTCCTTAAAGGGAAGAAAGCAGCAGATCGTCACCGTCTTGGTTCCTCCCAGAGATGAGTGCAAGAACCCGACCGTGGCCACCGTCGATGATGGATTCGAATATGACCAGAAGCACGTCCACGGGGCCGGATTGCCATGTGCAACAGTCGCAGTCCTCGCTCCAGTAGAGAGGCTAGAATAAGGGTACCCTGTTTTCTGTAGTCTATTTCAGTAGGGGAACCCTTCCCCAAAAAGGGATAAAAGGGCACTACTGAAAAACCTAGACATCCATCCGACCTTTGCCACTAAATTCCAGCAGTGTTAACTCTCAAATATCATTGCGACATTCTTACAGACAGCGAATGTCTGCGTTTGTCAAGCAACAGGAACTTTACCATACCGACTTTGGCCAGATGAATGCGCTGCTCAAGGAGGTTAGACATCGATTCAACGAACAGATCACCACAAGCTGCGCTCTGCCATGAAGCACTTGAGGTCAACACAGAGACTGTGGCAACCCTCAAGGACGCTATGCGACATCTATTCTACACAAAGAAACGATCCATCCACGACCGTACCTTTCCGGACTACGGACGGCATGACTACTTAGACTACATAATATGCTGTTCACTGGGGAAGACTCGGGCTCGATATCAGGCATGCAAGATGCGCGAGAACATGGGCGAAAAGGAACGTGACATGACAAAGTTCTATGATCACAGCTGCAGTCCAGGATAAAAACGTCGCATCCAAAGAGCGCTTCAAGCACGTCAACAACCAAATGCTCATGAACTGACTACAGCGGATGGTTAGACTAGTCTGTATCTTGGAACGAATGGAGCATATTTCAAATCAGAGTACTCAACGCCAAAACACAACAACACAACCGATAGACTCATTGTTCAGCCTCAACACCTTCAGTTGGCTTTTCATTCGATCGATGATTCAGAGTCATGGACACCGTCTATACGGATATTCTATCTGAGGCGAGCAAGTCAATGTTTCACACCACACTTTAGACATCACCCTCTGTTTCAGCACAGCAAGGATCAGCTCGTCGCGATTCTTCCCTGACAAAATGGAGCTTTCATTGCAACATTAATGGCTACGGTAATTCGTCCAGAAGATCAAAAGACAGTTGTGTCTTTATTGTTCTGTTTATTTCCACATTGATCTTCTTGCAACCATGTATAGCATATGAACAGTTGCGCTGGCCCGTCTCAGTCCGCTACATCAGTAGCGCGACATACTAAAGGAAGGCTGCCAGTACTGTCCGTGCCATATTGGACCATACAAGGAACCTCTACCGGGACACATCCTGTATCATCCTGTATTTCCTCAACATCTATTACTTGATACTTCCTTATCTGTTCTAACATAGATCCAGGGACAGTGAAGCGTGACAATAGTGGGCATATCCCTTTCGGTTACCCCTCGCGAAACTTCTTGTTTTGTGTTTTTGTTTTTCTGTTTGTTTTTCCCTGTTGGCTTCCTTTTGAACCAGCCTGAAAATGGCTTTGAGCCTCAAAATCATGAGAGAGGGGTCGCGCACTGAATGAAAACTGCAATGGCCTCATTCAGGATTTCCAATGCGCAATCCCGTGCAGAATGATGGCTTCCTATATGCTGCACTCCGATCGTCGCGGCTGCTAGTCTTGAATGTCTCGCATTGACAGCCAAGAGGCTTCCATTTCCAACAGAATCTCCTGACAAGGCGCCTTTTTTCTTTGCGCTTCACTGTTGGGAACCCACTGCCATAGAACATGGGAGTAGTGTTTTTGAAGCCCGCTACAGGGTGCAACTTGCCTTCTGTTTTTTGCTGGCTCTTGGTAGAAGAACAAAACCGCTCGTTTCAAGACTCCGGACCCTGATCACACCTCACTAGGACAAGAACCTGCCGAGGTTGTCCGGTGTGGCTTTGAGTTCTGCCAGAAGTTCCTCTCGATGATTAGTGGGAGAACTGAGTTGTTCTTCGGAAGAAATACAGCAAAAGGTTGAAGGTCCAACCAAAGAGCCGCCAAGCCGTTTGCCTCAAACCCCTTGTAAAACACAACAAGTTGCCTCCCTGGTTCGAAGCTGCGTCGGCTTCGCTCCAACGCTTCAGGGCCCGGCAAAGTAGGCGCGCTGCGCCGCCAAGAGCACGGCGTAGGACCTCGGAAGCTCTGAGCGGGAATGGCAAAAGCTGTGGGTACCTGACAGGGATCCTGGTACCATTCTCCTTTTAAAGGAACCCCCGAACGTCTGGTTCCACACGAATTGGTGGGAGGGTATATTGGCTTGCCCAAAAGAATATACATATATATATATATGCGGCTGTGGGTCAAAACCCAAAGTACCCCTGGTGAAAATCAAAATAGGTGGTACATGGGTGTTCCTGAGCCCCAAAATGGAAGCATAGGTTGGAGCGAAGAGTTTCAAACAAAAGCACAAGACCTGGAGCCTCAAACGACAAGAGTTTTCTCGTAGTTTTCCCCTTTGACTACAAACTAGCGAAAAGTCTGGAAAACACTTAAAACAACTAAAGCGATAAGAAATCACAGAAAGCAGTGGGTATGTCGCTTACTTCAGGGAAGGCCCCTCGTTTAAAGTGCGAATCTCACCTCATTCATCGGCGCCCCCTCCGTTTATTGGACATACCGAGACATTTGAGGGGCCACGCTCTGTGCACATATCCCCCCTTTCGGGAAAACGGGGAAAATCACCAGTTCCCCATGGCCAAATGAATCACAGACGGTGTTGTCCATGGTTCAATTCTCCGTGCTTCCAGATGCCACAAGAGTAACTAGGTAACCAAAGGGCCAGCATGCGCAGACCAGGGGACTAGAACCAATCATGTAACCAATCTTTCGTCCCTAACCACCTCACAGCGGCATTTCAGGCATACAAACTCCCGTCTTACAGCCGCCAAATGCGCCGCCAAGGCCTAGCGGCCGAAGTGCTTCAAGGCCGAGAGATGCAAGAAGCTGTTTGCCTACCATGGGAACTGGGAGGAGGAGCTAACACCTCCAAATCTTAGCCCAAGCCCACGGCACACCAAACAAAATTTATTCAGATTCTGATTCTGCTTCATATTAAGCGTAACGAACACGTATTCTGGAAGCAGACCCAGAAATGAGTTGTGTCAAATTTGTTCAACTAACAGAAGTCGGGGGCGTCAAATCAGAGCTCAAACAACATTTGGCTCCTGTCAAAATAAGACTGTATATGGACCTTCCCCCCCACCAAAAAAACAAAGCAAAACAAAATCGCTTTGGAGTTTCCGGCTTTCCTTTCGGTTTCCCTTTATCGCCCCAAGGGGACCGTCGAAAGAAGGATCGTCTGTTCGGCCGGGTGTGCGGCATGAGGCCCATGACGGCGCGGTGCAGCAGTTCGTCCACCAGGTGGAACCTAAGACTACAGTGGGGCTCAAGAGTCGGTGGAGTGGTTTGGGGGTTCTACTCCTAAACACCTGGCATGGGGTTGCTGAAAGATTCGTAATGAGGTGGTATGCGCTATATGGCTTGGGTCATGGATTTGGGTGGTAGCATGGATTTGGTCCTAAAGCCAAAGGCAGCCACTGGTTTCTTCCTGCTGAAATCTGGAAACGGGTCTAAGGGCCTGGAGTGGTTCGCAATGGCTCTGGGGCAGGCAGGGTTCTGGGTGGAGATACCGCCTGGGACCTGGGCCGAACAATTTGGCAATCAAGTTGGACCTAGTTGAACCCCCGTGGCAGGTCTGTGGTCTAGATGTCCCCCACATGCGAAAGCAACTTCTTAAACAATGCCTCAAAGTGAAGTTGTGTCGCGAAGCAAAAGGGACGGCCTGTGCATTGGAGGGAGCGCCCCTGATGGAATGCTCACCCTGTCTGTCATACCAACCCGCTTGAATTGCCCATTGCCAAAGACGTGCCAAAACCATGGGTTGCGGTTGAGCACTTAAATTTTTCAAGTAGGGGACAAGGGAACAAGAACTAGACGACAGGTGGCCCGAAAGCATAGAAGCAGGTTGATTGCCACCAGGGCCTTGCTCACAACTATGCAAATGTAGTTTTGGGTGACATGCATTGGCTGAGTGGTTGCACATCTATAGTTAGAGATTTAATGAATCATTGGACAAAGTGTGTTTACGTATTTTGCTTCTACACTCCAAAGTTGCCATGTTCGAGAAGGAGCTGGCGGAGCGTGCTTCACATCCGACTTTTGCACTGCAACGTTGTGGCTTGCAATCTGCATCTTTGCGTGAGCACGCGTTGAGTTCTACTTTTGTAACGAAAAGCAGGTCGCGATTCAAAGCTTGATGTACGAGTTGCAGCTGCAAAGGTGTATAGTACTCCGCGTGCTGCTTTCCCGCTCAAAAGTTTCACTTTCCAAGCTCCAGCTGCAGGAGCGCCCTTCGCTTCCTGCTTCCTTACTTCAAAAATACAATTCTCGAGCCGCAGCCGGGAAAAGTCTACTTCGAGCACGACGTTCGTGCTGTCGAATTGCTGTTGCTGGACAAGTGCACTTCGCGCACTATGTTCGTGCTGACAAACCGCAATGTTCAATCAAGCCGCAGCTGGAAAAGCGTATTTGGCTAACTACTTATGCACTGAAGGAAATTGCGATTCTCGAGCCGGAGCCTCTTTGCCAATTCGCACGGCGCCATGGCGAGAGCGCTTCGACACGCACGATCTCTGCAGGCTAAGCAACAGCTGGAGATGTTGGCAGCTGAAACACTCGAAAGATCTGGAAAGTTGGCAGGAAAAGTTGGCAGGTGACGTAACTTGCGAAAACTTGAGGTGAAGTAACACTCGAAAAGCTGGCAGGAGAAGTTGGCAGGTAAAGTAACTCTCGAAAAGTTGGCCGTTGGCAGGTGAAGTTTGCATCCGTTTGTTAAAGCAGAACCATTCGCATGCTTCCGGGAAATCCTGTGTAACATGCCTTCACCACCGGCATCTCATGTTCGGCCAGCTGTGCGCCCTTTTCTCAAAGGAAGGCGAACCCTTCCAGATTTGCCTGCCAAGGAAGTAAGAAAAAGGAAAAAAGAGTAAGAACTACGGAAACAGAGTTTGAAGTCACCATGGCCGGGTTTTCAAACAAAAACCACCCAAAGCCAAGAGTGCCTGGAGCGGGACGACGCCATGCCCTGAGATAAGCTGCTTCGGTGACAACTAGCGAGTCCCTCGCACCACTTGCAAGAAATCCTCTGCTGCAGCGGCCCCGGGGGGTTGGGAGGGGGGTCCTAGGAGGCTAGGCCCTCCAGAGAGGTTAGAGCAAGGGTACCAGCTTTTTTCCGTGGTCCATCTTAGTAGGGGAACCCTCCCCCAAAAAAGATTTGGTAAAAGGGCACCTAGCTGGGGGACCAAGTCTTGGAAGCACTCGCCATGTTCGTCATTGAACACCAGCGGGGAAGTTGAAAAGCACCCCCGGTCAAAGGATCTGCTCGGCAAGTGCTTGTCCTTTTAGGGGAACCAGTGCAATGGTTGGACCTTTCGTTTTCTGGCTCTAGGGGTTGATTCCCCATTCTTTTCAACCATCGTTCTTTTCAAAAACCAGATCCCTTCTTTCTGGGATTCCGGAGGTTTCTGGAAGGATCCAACCCCCAGTAAAAGAAAGGTTGACCCAATTTGGATGATGACAATCCTTAGGAAAACAATGGTGGCTATATGAACCCATCCATTCCTTTCATGGTGGGTTGAACCCCGGACCCTAGAATCCAAGACACGGACACCCCCACTAATTGACATTTCCCGTCCGACGGCTGAATCCGTCTCCCATGAGCGCCCAGCCACTGGCGTGAGCCAGATCGCCGTGTGTGGGCAAAGTGTGCGACTAAGGCAGCCCCCATGAAGACCTCCGATGCGATTGAGAACTCCGGCTCTAAACACAACGGAAGCCGACGTGTGCGGGTGTGTGTTTGTGTGGGTCTGTTGTGGTTATGGTCGTGTTTGTTTGTTTGTGTTTGTGTATATTTGTGTGTTTGCTTTTGTTTGTATGTTTGTTTGCTTGCGTTGAGGCTTGTTTGTTGGTTTGTTCGAGCGTGGGTGAACGTGCCACTGTTTCGGAACCACCTGTATTGCAGGTCGCCCCCTAGTTTGACATACCCATGTGGGACAGTCAAAGCATTTTCCTTTGGTGTCCTTGTCAAACAAACCCAAAACGGGGACCATCGAGAAAGAAAAAGGAATGGTGATGGCCGACGGGAAGCGGATCCACTCCTGGATCAGATTTTGAGGCGCACCGCAAGGGCAGAGACAATGAACTCCTTTCTGTGATTCTGTTATACCACAGTGGGTGTTAAATCTGACCATGAATAATTGATTACAGGGGGATTATCTTGTCACAGAAAGTGGCCTTGGCTAACCAGCAACCGAAGTTCTTATAACAGGTTTTGCTCGGTATTGTTTGTTTGTCATCCAAAACTCAGTGCTTCACAGTTGTTCGCACAGATCGAGCTCCTTGCCATGCACGGGAAACATGACTTAGTGTTACCCGCCAAATTTGAAAATGCTCAAGGGAAACGACCAGCAAAAACCAACCGGGTGGCGTTTTTGGAACTCTTCTTGGACGAACGGGGAGAGGCAAAACAACAACCCCCACCAAACTGGGACAGCTTTGAAACAAGAAGCAAAGTAGCCAAAGAGCCTTTCAAAAAGGGCTTGGGTGGCAGACTCCACCGGTTTCAAAATTCCCAGAGCTGCAAAAAAATCCGTCCAGGGTGCCATTTCTCACACGACTTCCGAACTCCCCATTTTTCCCCGGCTCCTCTTGCGGTCCGTTTCGTGTCCCCTTGGGACCCCCGGCAGAGGAGACCCTCGGGTGCAGGAACCTGAAGCCGAAAACGCCGACTCCGCCAGGTGGTCCAAATGGACTGGTGGCCACTTGCAGAACGGGAGTTGGCCAAAACGAGCCAATGGGTTCAGGGCTTTCTATGGCTTGAAAAACCGGCTGAAGAGCCGGCTCACTCACTCACACTCGGTCTGTGCCTCAAGGAGGGCGAACCGAGAACAGGGGAGTTTTGTTGGAGTGACCGCCCGATGCGAATGAAGCTGGAGAAGCCGCAGATTGCAAGGAATGCTCCATCGCCGCGGGCCATGTCCGAGCCCTCCCCCCCCCGGCAAAAAGAAACATAGTTCCGGCTGTGGTAGATTCCCTTTAAAACCAACAAGGGAAGATAAACAACATATTCATTTCAGCAAATGGAAGCAGCGGTTGACCTCTCCGTGGAACTCCCGAATCGGATCCCTCGCACCATTGCAAACCCATCTTCTCGGTATCGGCCCACTGCATCGGCCTCAGCAACCTCTTGGAATGGGGCCCGGTGTTCCCCATTCAAGGAGTGAGGAGTTCCATTTCTCTCAACTGCAGCACCCGCACCCCAAGGCTCTTGATCAACGATTTGTTTCTGAATCCTGGGTTTTCATCCGTTTTGACAGAGGAATTCGGAAATCTGCTGGCAAGCTGCAGGATTGTGGTAGGTGAGTGGAGGCTGTGTGCCATATTGGGTGCGAAATATGTGTCGCGCGCGTCTACTCCAACCTTGGGAAACCCTGTTTGGTGGGTTTAAAAACAAACATATGGCCATGGGTCAAAAATGCCGTACCCCCAGTCAGTGAACATCCCAACCCCACAAAACCCATGGCCAAATATCTCGCCCTTTGCCTTCGGATAGCCGAAGGCCTTTCCGTCTCCTCCCTGGTGGACGGTCACATCAAGTGGAGCGTAATCGTGCACTGCTTGCATTCTTTAGGATATTCACAACGCTGTTCCTAACTTTGGTGTTGCAACTCAATCGCATACTGTCTGCCCAACACAATAAACATACATCAAGTGATGATAGAATTCCGATGACTCGGCCAAATTCAGAGTCTTGCGAGTCACGCTTGGATTGGACTTGTTCTCACCCCTGGCCCTGTGATTCACAACCCGGTTTTCCGGCCAACTTTACTACTTAAAGGCATCCACAAAGTCTTGGCAAAATTTCCCGCCTCCCCCCGTCTTATTCAAGTTTGCTGGACAAATCCAGGTTTGACAAGCTCGCCAAGAGTGCCCCCTTGAAGGCAGTTCCCACCCAATTTCAACCCCCTCGATTAAAATCTGGCTGCTACTGTCCTGTTCCACTCCTGTTGGCCAGATAGGGAAAACTCCGGAGAGGACCGGAGTAGTTCGGGGGGTGCAAGGGGACCTTCCACACTCGCGCTTTCAAAACCTTGTCGACCAAGGGGGATTCATCAGATCACCTGATCAATCTTCGAACGAAGCGTGTGACATCTGTCAAATATCTGCAACGTTCCAGCTGCTCACAAGCCAGGCCATGGGAAACAAAGGCAAGCTTTTTGCAGTTGAAGTTAAGGAGAATCACTTTGCGAAAAACACAACTCATTTCCTGAGTGGATTCAAACTGTTTGTTACTTCACAACAATGCTCTTCCAAACAAGTATCCATTCCAAACAAGTATCCAGGCAAAGGAACCCAGTTTGCACCGGGTGGGGCCCTTCTTTCCCCGGCTCCATCCGCGCCCTCCGCCCTGCTCCCACGAGTTTTTCGCTTTGGGCGGCCGGGCACGAAGTAGAAAAGGTCCCGCCAGCTGCCCACGATCACGCGCCGCGGCTGCCAGCGCGAGAAGTCCGGGGGGTGCCGCACCACGTAAGGCCTGAGATGGCCATGGCTCAAAACCAATACCAAGGCTCAGACCAAGACAGGCAGACAGGCAGACACACAAGGACACACACAGACGCACCACACGCACAGAATTCAACCGCAGGATAGCCTGGCCCAAAAAACCGAAATTCATGAAAGGGAGAGTTTCCTGGAAACACAAAAAAACGCGAATCGACCCCCATGCCCGCAAGTTTGAAAGGAAGTTCAACAAACATGGTGTTGGGTTTATCTCATTTTAAACCCAACCTTAAACGGGTACTGAAAGGCGCAGCGGACTTAGTAAGTGGTTCGTAACTATGGTTACAACCCACTTCGGAGACTTATAAAGATTATAAGTGGGTTGTAACCATGGTTACTAACCACTTGCTAAGTCCCCGATCGCCGATCGCCCCTTTTAAGTGCCTTCACACACCCAAAGAGTTGAAACGAAGCGATCTCCGCGCACTGAGCTAGGCACCGCATCCTGAAAACGTCGACCTGGTCGGAAATCCACGAGGCGCGAAACTGGGCCCATCTGAGTCACAAGTCCTCAACATAACGCTCTAGATCTAGAAAACGGTTTGGATGTGCTTGTTGTGGACCTCACCTGTTCTTCCCCCTTTAGGTTATGAAATAGTTCTCTTTTGGTAGCGTCTTTTAAGATCCTACAAGGGTGGATCCACAACACCGCATCCAAACCGTTTCCTAGACTAAATGCTGGCTTCACGAGAAACCACCCCAACCAATTTTGAGAACCCCGAATCTTCACTCGAAGCCCCAGCTGTCAATGGCACGGTCCGACATGGACAGCCAAAACTCTCTGGCAATTGTCAAAACTCTCTGGGCTATAACTCACTTGCCCAAAGCACCCAGAAATAAAAGGTTAACCTTTTGGGGCCATGACTACAAATGAACAAAACTGGAAAACCAAAAGGCTAAAAGGTCGGCTTTGGGCAACTGAGATAAGCATCAGGGTGCCATCTACTTTCATGGTTCATGCCCATATCTCCCAAGTTCTTTTGGAACCGGTCACAAAGGGACCGTGGCGTTTTTTTGTAACTTTGGAGATCATGCTTGTGAATCGCAGATAGGATGTGTCTTTTTTTGGGAACCCCCTTTCCCCCAAACAAGAAAAGGAAGTTTTCCTTTCGGCACCCCAATCTAAACTTGGCCGACTGGTTTACCCAGACAGAATCGATCAGGTTTGCTCCCGGCCCTGGAACCTCATCAACCGAAGCTAACGGAAAAGCTTTCTTTGGGAAGCTTCCCAAAAGGATTAGAGTCTTTCTGACTGTTTCTGCGGGTTCATGTCAGGAAATGGATTTTGTTGTTTCCCTTTAGACCACCGAACAGGACCCGGTGATTCAATTTGACAGTGGCAAAAACTAATCAGCAAGAAGGAACTCGAGAAAGCCCAAAGCTTGCTTTGCCTTTTCGACCCTCTGGAGCAAAGTTATACTTCCATTTGCTGAAGCCGCCTGGAAACATTAAACATATGTCCAGTAGTGATTGAACCCCGTTCAAACCAACAAGGGAAAACGAAACATGTTCTTGAGCAAGTGGAAGTCAATGGTGCATTGGAACGTCGGAACAATGGTTTCTTAGAAAGGAACTCACTTCGATTGCTGAAAAGGTCAGAGACTTTCGGCTCTTTGAAACCTTGGAATGGCCTCGTCGTCGCGATTGCCCAGGATGGCTGCCTGAACATCTGACCATCTCAGTGTTTGCATGGAAACGTGGCAGGGAAACTGGCAAGTCGCCGCTTTCTTTGTTTGCTTGGTTGCTTCTTCGTCCGGTGGTGCGTTCGTGTGTGTGTGTGTGCGTTCACTTTTAGCCGCGCGCTCGTATGTAACCCGCACATGAGGTTTGGACATGTCTGCAAATTGAAGGCGATTTGCATGAAATTTCAAGGTATGTATCATTTCAGTCAAGCTTGGAGCAGCAACATCTGTGTGTGTGTGTGTGCGCCTTCTGAGGGTAGCTGTTTTGGGTGGTATAAACGCACCCCAACATGCGGGGCTCCCCCGCAAATTTGGGTCGGCCGAAGAATTGCGGCACCTGATTTGATGCTTCCTTTGGCTCAAGCTGAAAAGGGGCACGATGCGTAGCAACTCAAAAACAGAAACACGCACGCACAACCAAAAAACACGTCCTTTGTGGTGTTCCTTCAGCTTTGGCCCAAGGGAGTTTCCTGGGCCAACCGGGCCACATATCCCAGTGAAGCACATGATTTGCGCAGGGAAAGAGCTCCCTGCCTTTCTTAGAGTTACAAGAAAACCAGGTAAGAAAAAGGGGACCCAACACCCAGAATCCAAAGGCCTTCACCTGAACTAATAAGTGATTCCCCCCAAAGCGAAGGGTTCCGTCTATTTGTGGCTGGGACTTCTCTCTGCCAATTGAATTGGGCTCCACACAACATGGTGGTTCATGGTTCCCTTAATAAGGCCTTATTTGGGGCTTATTTGGGCTCCCTCCCCCCAATACCGCCCAGAGACAAATCTTTTAGGGTTTAGGGTTTTAATTTGGACCCCGGCAGGGCGAGTGATAAGGGAAGCGCTTGATCGCGCGAAGACAACAAGCCCGCGGCGCAAACGCTTGAAACTCGCGTCCTATTATGCGACGGCTTGAGCTCAAAGAGTCGCGAGCGCCGGCCGCGTTGATTGGCCGATTCACACCGCTTCATAAGGGGACGCGGGCGCTTGAGGCTTGCGCGGTGAGGGGGCCCCCTCCCTCCCCCCCAGCCCCCATGACTGGTGGCAAATCACCCTATGATTCCAAACTGGCCCCAGCATGAGCGTGGCTTCAGCACGGCTGAGCAAAGGATGGGCCAAGCCGGGTTCCTATAGCCTCCGCGGCGAAGACCAAAAGCCTTTCAACACTGGTGAGAATTCAGATCCTTGCCAAACATAGGGGGACCCTCCAAATCGCCCAAGGGCCATGAAGGCGTCAAGGCTCCCCAGTTTCGGTTACGCCAGGTGCTTCAAAGACATCCACACCCGAGAGCTCGACAAGGACGCGAGCTCGAAGGAAGAGGCCAAAACCAAAGTGGGGTCGAAGAATTCCGGCCTCTGGGACGTGTAAGAACAAATGCCTACATCTCATTCCAGGACTGTGGGAAATGACCACTTCTGTGATACAACAAAAAAGGATTCCCCAAGACTAGCCCCCCAAAAAACAGGGGGAGATTCCTTTGTATCACGGAAGTGGGGATAAAACCCTTGATCCCACACATCCTTCCTATGAAGTTTCTGGAGCACCGGGCCTCCCAATGCCCAGGCCTTGAAAAGCCGATGCTCAAAAAGGGTCTCTGGCTCTTTTTTGGGGGCCGTGGGTTTCTCAAAGGAAAATGGAAAGGCGAGTCTTGTCAGATCCCCAAACTGGCTTCTTCAAAAAGGATGGATCCCTCCCTGTCCGCAATTCGTTGCAAGACACCACAACAACACAGGAAGCCACCACCATCTGGAAGGATTAAGGATTGATTTTGAACAACCCGTTTGTGTGGGCGTGTGGCATGTGTCGACACCGGGAAACCCCTTAAATTTGCGGTGTCGTATTGATTTCCCTTCAACACAAACCCGAAAAAGGCTGCAAAACAAAGAAAGAGACACGCACGCCTACTACGCACGCCTACTACGCAAGCACGCGCACACAAACACTTCTGAAATCGCCATCTAAACCATCAAACACAAAAATCGCACACAACACTTTTGGCGATTGGCGCACACGCGTTTGGACAGGGAAAGCGAAAGAAAGCCAATCGCCATCCACCCAAAGCGCTCGCGCCTCCCAGTACGAGAGGGACCAGCACTCGAGGGCCGAGATCTGGCGACGAGAGCCAGGGTGCGCCTTTTGCTGCCGTTTGACCATTCTCTTGGAAACACATGGGCGTGTTCTTTTTAGCAAAAACTCTTTGGGGTTGTTTGAAAGGCAAACCGAAGAGAAACCACCCAAAATGGGTGTCACTCTGGTTTGGGACAAACCCAAATCAACAATCCTCCTTGGGGGGTGCCGATGCTTTCCTAAAAAGAGAGCGAAAGGCAACTGGAAAGAAGGCCGCAGCCTTGCTGAGAGTGGCTGGGTGTGGGCAAGTTTGGTGCGTGAGGCCGTCGAGAATTTTTTCCTGTTTCCGCGGGGCTGTGGCCAACTTGGGTAGGATTTGGCATCCGAGTAGGAAGTTGCTTCGCTTGATTCCCAACACCCAAGTCAACCACAAGCCAAGTAGTCCGTCTCTGTTTGGTTATAATTGCTGATTCAATTCACCCAACCAACCCACCCACCCACCCTCCCACTAATCCACCAACCCACCGTCTGTTCCCATCCATCCATCCACCCACCCACCAACCAACACACCAACCCACTAACCCACCCACCCACCCACCCACCCACCAACCAACCAACCAGCCCACCCACCAACCCACCAACCCACCAACCCACCAACCCACAACCCACCAACCCACCAACCCACCAACCCACTAACCCACCAACCCACCGTTCGTCCATCCATCCATCCATCCATCCATCCATCCATCCATCCATCCATCCATCCATCCATCCATCCATCCATCCATCCATCCATCCATCCATCCATCCATCCATCCACCACCCCACCCCACACCCCCACCCACCCACCCTGCAATTTGGGTATGGGTCAACATGAAGCCACCAGGACCCTACAGGTTTTTGCCCACGCTGCCATTTACCAGGGCTCCCATTTGGGTACCATTTTTTGATCCACACCCATTCGGTTCCTGAGCCACCCGGGGACCCAGCCAGCAGCAGCCCCAGCAGAGCCCACGCAGCGTAGCTCCGCAGGATCTCCCCGTGGTCCACCTGAGGGCCAGGGCGCCAGAGGTGGCCTTGTTTCTGGGAGGGGAGGTCGTCTCAGTTCAGCGACCCTGGAAAAAAAGGGAGCCCTTTTTGGGGGAAGACCCTTTTTAGTGGGGCAACCGGGCAACCACAAAAAAAAGGGAGAGAGGGCGGTACAAAAATGGTTGACCCAGAACCATGTAAAGAACTAAGAAGGCGGATATCTGCAGCTATTTATGGCTGGGATCGTCCCTTATTAATCTGCACTTACCCGGGTTTTGATTGTGGCTCACCTCTTGCTATCGGATACATAACTTATATTCTATACAAGAAAAGACACAGCTATCTATTTAATCATCTAACTTGTCGACACATATTACATGTACATGTATTGCCTGACTCCCCTTATATGTGGCATTCCTCACCTCACCTCCTAACAAGCCGCTGTCCTGCTTGAGGCTGTCTCACAATTTGCGAGGCGCTCTTACCTTGAAAACCACCCATTTCCAGGCGCTCAACAACAACAAATGCAAACTCATTTTGAGGCAGAAGCTTGTGAGAGCTGAGATCTGCAAATCCACGAACCCTCCACACCGTTGAGCATACCCCAACCCTCCCATGATGTTTCCTTTCATTTAGGGGTCCGTATGCTCAAAAGCTATGGAGGCTTCTTTTCTGAGTTTTACAACTGCAAGCCATGAAAACTCCCCCCCACCCCCAACAAACACTCGAAAAGAGCTCTCGTTCTTCGGTGTTTTTGGTTGGTACCCGCTTTTTTTGGGTCGGTGCTTAAAGGGAATCCAAAGGGAAAACCGAATGCAGCACGTACCCAAACATGACTCGGACCCTCTGCTGGAACTCTCCGACATTTGCTCTCTCGCTCAGGTGGCGGCCTTCTCCCCCTTGCACAGCTGCTTGACACCTCGGGAATACAACAACAATGCTTTCACTCTATAACCATGACCTAGTTTGGTTTGAATGACCACACCAGTCGAAAGGCGCATGTCAAAGGGAGACCCTTGAAATTGGTTTCTTGCCTTTGGTTTCACTTTACACCAACCAGAAAAGGTACCAAGACAAACACACGAACACACGAACTCTCAAACTCACAAACTCACAAACACACCAACTCACAAACTCACAAACTCACAAACACACAAACTCACAAACACACAAACTCACAAACACACAACCTCACAAACACACAAACACACCAACACAAACACACGAACACACGAACTCACAAACTCGCAAACGCACAAAGAAACAAAGAAACAACACACAAACAAACAAACAAACAAACAAACAAACCAACCAACAAACAAACAAACAAACAAACAAACAAACAAACACACAAACACACGAACACACGAACACACGAACTCACGAACTCACAAACACACCAACACAAACACACGAACACACCAACTCACAAACACACCAACTCACAAGCTCACAAACACACAAACTCACAAACACGCAACCTCACAAACACACAAACACACCAACACAAACACACGAACACACGAACTCACAAACTCGCAAACACACAAACAAACAAACAAACAAACAAACAAACAACCAAACAAACAAACAAACGAACTCACAAACACACGAACTCACGAACTCACAAACACACAAACACACAAACACACAAACTCACAGAACACACAAACACACAAAGACACAAAGACACAAACACACAAGCACACAAACAAACAAACACACAAAGACACAAAGACACAAACACACAAGCACACAAACAAACAAACACACGAACACACGAACACACAAACACACAAGCACACAAACAAACAAACAAACACACGAACACACGAACACACAAACACACAAACACACAAACACACAAACACACAGGCCAAAATATACAGTATAATTTTGTTGGAGAACCCGAGGCTCGTGAACCTGAAACTCAGGAATCCGTCTGTAGAAGCCGCGTGATTTGTTCCTGTTGGCGACCCAAACTGTCGCTGAGGAAACGTCAGCTTTGAACAAATGTCTTTTTGGGGGACTCCCAAAAGCGGGTCCCATGAAAAACCAAAAAGGGAAGTGCTTAGTTTTATTAGGCTGGCGCAATCCAGGTTCGATGCTCAAAGGGAAACCGTTTGAGGTCAAACAATGACTCGAGGCGTCAAATTTGCCATTCGACCTCGAAAGTGGGCGTGGGAAAAGGGGCCACAGGTTCTTGTCAGAAGGCGCGCCACCTTTAGCAACTTTTTGACCATCACTACGCGCTGGATAGAAATGAAAACAGAGTCAACAAATAGTATCACCTGGGACAGTTGCAACTGTGCGCCCTCGAGAAGTCCAGAATCGGCCAAGAGAGCAGCAAGGCTTTCTCAGTACACGCAATGAATCCGGATCAATCGTGATACTTCCAACTGCACTCGCTTGTCTGCCAGTGAGACAGAGTGTCCAACAGGCGAGAGGTGAACATTCACCGACCAGTAAAGGCTATCGAAAGGAACATTCATCAGGAGCCGTGCCAGTCAATCTGCATTGCCCTGAGCTGCCAAAACATGGCAACACTCAGCTTCCCTCCAATTGGTGGCTTGGATTAGTTTTTTGGATTGGTGGTTTGGTGGTTTAGCAGGGGTTCAAATTCCCAAACCACCAGATTTCCGGGACGGGCGGCTTCTGCGACCCCCGCTGGCGAAGCGCCATTCCCCAAAACGGGAAACCATTGTGTCAACCCTCCTGGCTGTCTCGAGTTTGTGGACTTCAAAAACCACGCCGTGGCCATTTCCGGGGATGGAAGGGACTACGAGTTGGCGATCAGAATGCCAACAAGACCAAAAGAAAGCCAACCGTGGCCGCGCGGAATCAGTCCCTTCGCATCACTCGCTCAAGGCTCGGCACAAGGCGCCAACGAAACTCCGATTTGTTGATCTTCAGCTTGGCCATGATTGGGCACAAGTACCCTCCCCACCAAGTAACACGGAACCTGGCGTTCGGGGGGTCCTGGTTTAAAACATTTGCCTTTCAAAGAGACCCCCGCGCGTCAGGTTCCATGGAAATTGGTAGCAGGGTAAGCTGCCTGGTGGACAATGAAGGAAGCCAAGAAGGGCCACAAATTGACCCCTGAAGTGCCGTTTGATCTTCGAGGCAAACCCAGGCGTGGTTCTTTCCTGCAACACGGTCCCTTATACTAGGATACCCCCCCCCCCCAAACATCAAACCACTTGCTACAGGGTGAAAGACTTTAAAACGCATGGTCAAGTTGGTACTTAGAATGGCCAATTGGTATCCGGAATCCGGTGTAAAGGCTTGCTATTCCGCTATCCCCGGTTGTGGGGAAATTTGTGTAATTGCTCCCAAGGAAACCATTGACTACTGGTCATGTTCACCAAACCTCCCATATCGCCTCCCCTCCTAATCCTTGGTGGGCAAACCCCCCAAAAGGACAAGGGATGTGTCTAACTTGTTGCACGGGCCATTGCATGAGACCAATAAGAACCTTTGATGCTTCCAACGCAAAGGGCTCGATTTCCCCTTTGCTGGGCTCCAATGAAATCGCCACTTTCGAAACAAAAATACACCCAGGTCTAAGGCTAGGCACCAAAACCGAACACCGAACACCAAAAAGAAGAAAAAAACGCGACAAGCCGAAAAGCCCCGGATCCCCCAACTGGTCTTCCGCAGCGGCAGCTGGCACTGCTTTGGCGACAGCTGCTCGTCCTGGCCGAAGGACGAAGATGCCGAAGGCAGAAGGCCTGGCCCTTCGCTGCAAAACTTCCTCTTTACAAGGGGGCCGAGCGGCAATAAAACTTGAGAAGGGAAGACACGAAAGGTAAGATACCGTAGAGTGGTCCCCCTAATGTGCGATAAAAAGGCTTCTCCTAATGTGTCCTGTAAAAAAAGGAAGGGCTTGCATCGAATACCATTTAGGTGCGCATGGAGCTCAACAGCTTGACTAAGTTAAGACGTGATTTCCGTTCCGCAAAGAAGGGAAGTACCCGTTGACCAGGTAAAGTGGGGCACTGACGAAGCGAGCAAGGGACAAGGTGCACCGTGACTTGGTGCGAAAAGCGGACCGAAGTGTGAAGCGAGGTGAGCGAAAAGAGTGGAAAAAGGAGCGAAGCTTCCAATCAGGCACGCAGGGGGGGGGCCAGAGGGCGGACCAGGGGGAGTCGAAGGTCGGAGGAGGGGGTGGGTGGCTAGCCTTGCCAACACAAGGAGAAACTCAAGCTAGCCTCCTTGAGGCTACCTTTCGTGAGCAGGCAATTAGCTGCCGCCCAGCTATGGTTCGAGGTCCGTAGGTCCCTCAGAATGCAAACTGGTCCCTCAAATCGGAGAAACATTCGGGTTCCCCAATCAAAAAGTCGGACACGTGTCATAAGTTAATCCAAAATAGGAGGACGCCCCGCAACAAAAAAGAAAAGAACAAAGATGAAGTTATCCAACCGGTTTCTGAAAATCCACAAAAACAAAAGAAAGTGCATCCACACGTTCCTTTTGACTTCCTTTTCAAGCAACCAACCAGACAAAAGGGTACCCTCAAAAAACCAATCCAGAAGCTGCGTCACTTGGGGGCTGTCTTTCCTTGGCGTTGGAAAGCCACCCGTTTCCGGGCGGCCCTTTTTCTTATCGCGCCAGAGTTGAGCCAGCCAAAGTACCCACACTTTGCTTCCCACTCAAAGGATCCAAACTCAAGTCCAGGAACTCAGGAGCTGAAAAACGGACCATGTCCTCACAGAACTCTGATCGGTAGCTCCGCAAGGCTCCATTGTAAAAGGCGAACTTGGAGATTTCCGGCTCCCTGGGCTCCCTTCCAACCACAAGCTAGAAAAACACGGCTTTGCCTTTGACTGGACATTCGGGCAATCGTAGCACTTGCAGCAAAAAAACTGAAACTCCTAAAAATGCTGAATTGCAATGCTCACGACCTTTGACAGATCAGGAAGCTTTCGGGGCTCAATGCCTCAGTGCAGCCTACAAATTTATCATCCAAGCATGCAACGGCGCCCCAAAGAAATCCAAAGTTGTGTGGTGCAGAAAAAAAGGTACCGCTTTTGACCGCAGAACTCTGCAAATCTCCCATAAAATCCGCAAACTGCCGCACTTCCTCAAGGCAGTCCACGGTTCAACAAAATTGGTTCGACGAAGTTGGTTCAACGAAATTGGTTCAGCCCGTTTTGAAGAGTGTAAACATGCAAAAGCTATGCAGTATGGCTGGTTGCCAACGTCTTCAAGCATGTCACAACCAACCAAGCTGCCACTAGCATGGGCGCTGAGCGGAGGGGTTTGAAAGGCTACCTGTGGGGAAGCCCAAGTCAAGAGGAAGGGTGTTACGCGTCAACTTGAGGAGTCCCTGATGGGAACAGATGAATACACCCCTTGATTCAAGAAGAACTTCCCCCAAAAAGGATTCCGGGTTGAGACAAATCCGGGGTCGACAGGGTCGGTTGTTCGTGCTGCGTGACACCAAGCCGGCTGGTGACCCAATTGGGCCCTCCCAATGGATTCAAGCGCGTTCTTCATGCGGAATACTTACTTGAGACGTTTGGCACCCTCGAGAGGAAGCTATTACAACTTCTAAGGGCCAGCCCCTTCATACTTCTTAAAAGGCTGTTGCAAGAGGACAGTAAGCCTCATTGATTTTCCAGAAAGGCGGTCTCTAAACACATACGCACACACACACAACCCTGTCTCCTTTCCGATCTGTTGGCTCCCATTCGGTTCGAGCGGCACATACAGAACTGGCTTAAAACAAGCCCCGTCAAAGGCACACCTTGGCCGCCTCTGCTTGGTTATGTGGGCTATATCATAATATATGGCCATGGGTCAAAATCCCGTACCCCCAGTGAACATCCCAATCCCCACTAAAATAGGCAACCTAAAATGGGTGGTGAATTCACCTACCAACCAAAATGGGATCCCAAAACGGTTTTGACAAACACAGCCACATAAACATACCCGGCCCCAATAAGCCAAGGCCAGAACCGCTACGCAACCACCCTGGCACTCAATGCACTGAACCAACCCCAGCCCTGAATCAATCCGAACCCCAAACCAAAACCAAAACCAATCTTAAACCAACCCGAAACCCATCCCACAACCCAACCGCAAGACCAAGACCACGCAAAAGGGCGCAAAAGGGGGGGGGGCTACCGGGCTACCTGTATGACCTATGACCATGAAAAAGGGGGCAAGAAGGACGCTGCATCCGATATCAAAAGAAACACCCGAATTTCTGGTTGACCTGGCTGATCCTTGTTCCTAAAGACCTGCTGGCGCTCAAGAACCGTCCCAGAGAAATCATTTCCACACCTGAGTCATGGTAGAGCATCAATTCGCAAGGCGGATGATCCAGCTTTTGCGCTTTTGCGCTTTGGCGGCCTCACCTTGCTGTCTCATGTTTGGGAGGTCAATTCTACCCATGAAACAGATGAGGTCGTTTGAGCTAGGACAATCCTTCGAAGGTCGCGTCGGGGGCACGCCCCACGCCAGGCCTCGTCGTCACCCTTGGCCGGGGAGGGGGGGGGGCCAAAAGCTGGTGTCCTTTTGGGGGACCCTTTCCCTCCCCCAACAAAATGTGTGTTGTTTTTTTGGTCCGGGTGTCCTTTTCAAGGCCAGGGCTAGCCCCAACTTTTGGGCTGCCCCAGGAAACCAAGCGCGGACCAAGCATTGGGAGTTCCCGGTCCCAATCTTTAACTTAACCGTCCGATGATGCCGTCGTCGCTGCAAAGAAATCCTCTAACGGTCGTCCAAGTCTCTTAGTACCCTCCCTCCAACAATCATGGAAGCTGACAGGGTTTTAGAAGCCCAAACACATCCGCTCCCTTGATTGTTGGGAAGAGGTAAATAAATGGGGTCCTGCCAATCCTAAGTAGAAATGTACTTTATCCACAATACAGTTGCAACACCCCCGCGTTGCATGGTCGATGCACCTTGTAGGGCTCGATAGGGTGTGACAGGGCTTGTAAATGGACACTCGTGACTCGTGATGAGGGTTCCCGACAAAGAAGCAATGAAAGCAGGCAACCGCATGGCTCGGTTGGCTCGCCAACAACAATCTTGGAATCAGCTAAACCAAAGCTTGGAAGGGAAGTAACCTGACAGTCGCTTTTCAGAACATCCGGCGATGGTCTTTCCTGCAAATATCACACCCTTCTTCCAATCATGGAAGTGGACTTTTTTGGGCTTCCCAAGGACAGTAGTTCAAAACCCTCCGATCGTCAGCTTCCATGACTAGAAGGGTATTTGACCAGTTCGTCTGCTAAAGCATATCAACCCAGGTACGGGGCCCTCATCTCGCAAGTGAACTCTGGCCGCGAAAGAACCCGAAAAGGTCTTGACATTTTCCCAAATCCCAAAAACAACCTGAACAAATGATTCGGCCTGTTTGGTCACGCCTCAAAATGCCCACCAAAAGACAAATTGGCGTAACGACCCAAACGGTTCAGAAGAAACAATCATCAACGCAACCGAAATCCTTGCCATTCTCCCCCCCCCCCAAAAAAAAAAGAAAGAAGAAGAACAGAACAAACAAACAGCTCCCTGCTTCCTGCAAGAAACATCCTTTTGTTTCAATAACCACTATGGAAGATGACAGGAGGGCTTTGAAAGACTACTTTACTGTTGGGGAACCTCCCTATCCACTTCGAGAAATCCCCACTGAAAATAAACCCCGCTGAATATGTGCAAGACAATCCATGTTAGTACTCCTATCAGTATCAATTGCGATGTTCAACTACCATTACATTACATTCCTGTTGATCAAAACTCAACATGTCAAAAGAAAACTAGCCCGAACGCTTCGTATCCAGAGCGCGGTCACAAAAGCCATCGGGTGTTTCTTTGATTTTCTTATTTGAACAAAATGCAACTTGGCGAATCGGACACAAAATGGCCTTGCTTGGTCCAAAAGGGTCTGTTTTTTTGAGGGTAACCGTCTTTTGGTGGCTAAAGGAAAACAACCAACAGGCCAACCACAATCTTTGGGGTCCCCGGAAAAAAGGGGGGAAAAAACCGAGTGACTATAGCGTACCTTGCACAAAGTTGATGATTTTGTGCTGGGAGAAACCAGTTGGACTTGGAAACAAAAGAAGAAAAAAGACGCCGGGAGCGACGAAAAGTCGACAAGTTTCATGGACGTCCTCTTAGTTTCTCTTTTCCAAGCCCATCCGAAAGGGGGTCCATTCCACAAACTGAACTGTGGGGGGGGGGGGGGAAACAGAACCACCTGGCGGGCATACCTTGGATGATGTGCAGGGGTCCTTGTGCGTACCATTGCAACATCACCCACCCGCCACTAACTCCTGAACAAAAGAACCCCAGTGTAGTTCACCTAGCCTGGTAAGCACCCGCTTGCAAACTCCCTCAAAGTGAACTAAACTAGGTGACTCTTTGATCAGTTCAGATTCCCCCATTTTTTCTCAAGGGAACCAGTTCACTGCGGGCTCCAAGAGGGACACCGAGACAAATCCACCGAGACCTCGTCCGGCACTTCAACCAGTTTTCGGCCGGGCCGGCCGGGGCCTGGCGGGGCTGATCCATTGGCCGGCGCAAGGTCTCGAGAGGAGCCCTGGCGGCAAAAAACCGACCAACCTGTTGCTCTCCGTTTGCAGATCCGCTAAAAGTGAGGAACTCTTGGTGAGAAAAAAGAAACAACCCAACCACTAAACCAGCCAAAACCTTTTAAACTTGACTAAAGAAAAACAAGTTGAGCCGGACGACCGGGGACTGGCCAGAAACCCGCAGCCGAAAAGGATGTGCAAAGGCGAATTGCTCGGCAATTGCACCAGAATGCAACACGAGGACAAGCTGAAGGCAAACAAGCAAACGCAAGTGTACGCAAAGGACATTGTCAAGGAGGCAACATGCTGGGAGGCATGTAAGCGCGCATGCAAGGAAGGCATACAGGGGCAAGACCAGGAATGAGCAAGCACAAGGAGCGAATAAGCAAGCGTGTGTGAGCAGGCAAGCAAGGGAGCAAGAGAGCCAACATAGGTTATGTGGGACGGGCCAGAGACTGGGGCCATGCAAGCGGCTTCTTGGCAGCAAGGGTCCGGTAGGGGGGAAAGACAGTCATTCGAACCCTGCGCGGCCAAACTAAATGAGCGAGCCCCCAAACAGGTACAAACAAAATTACACCCTCAAAAACAAATTCCCTGTCACCCACTACACAGACTTGCTGGTTCTTCAGCAAAAAAATGAGAAAGAATGACCCCCTATAAGCCATCCCCTACAGCTTCCTTCAAGGGAATCCCCAGACGGTTCATTCCCAACGCCAAGAACGCTCAGATCCTGGCTCCCCTTTCCTGGGAGCCGAAGCTGACCCCCAAAGTCAACCTTCGCCGGCGTCCTTAAAGTAGCATGTCCTTGTGTCCGAAAAATCGGAAGGGGATCTTCAGCTTCCGAAGGAGTGGATTGGCACTCGAAACTTCTTTACCAAAAGGATCCAAACCCAAAAACTACAAAGTCCACCTCTTGTCTGCGGCTTACTCTGGCCCGGGAAAGTACAAAGTTCAGGAACTCCAGGAGTGAGCTCAGCATTTTGACATTGAGACCCCCTCAAGGTCCTTCAGTAGAGAGGTTACAACAAAAGGGTACCTTTTTTCTGTAGTCTATTTTTGTAGGGGAACCCTCCGCAAAAAGAAGGGGTAAAAGGGCACTACTGGGGGCCCTAGCGCTGTTGTGAGAAGCCTCTTTGCTTCACGACTCAGGTCGCTCGCTCTTTCACCTCCCATGCCTCGGCATAGTACCGCCATAGCCTGGGCCCAGCTTTGCCCTTGACCCATTCGGAGGATCAATGTGAATGTGGACTATGTCCGATGTCCAGAGCCTCAGGTCCTCCAGTAGAGAGGACGATTTTATACGGGTACCCGATTTTTTTTCTGTAGTCTGTTTTAGTAGGGGAACCCTCCCCCATAAGGGCACTGGGGGACCTAGTCTGGGTTACCTTGACGATCTGTGAAAACAAGCCAACTCAACAGGCAAGGAGTCGCAGGCCTGCTGAATCAAAACGCATAACGTCGAAGCAATGCTGTGAGGCTCACAGGACACGTTGAATTCTTCAAATTGAGGGAACACACAATGAAACTGCTCGTCTCTCTCTGGGGTGCGCCTCACTAGAGCCACACAAATGCCAAACTCCCAAGTTGGTTTCCAGGAATCTTTGTCTAATATTCAACCATCCTGAGTCACTAGTCACAGGCAAGCAGGTTGCTTGACAACACATGCGAACAGGATTGGCAAAAACCAGCGGGGGCTCGCACTGCCTCCTGAGGCTGTCCTTCTACGACGACCTTCTGGTTAGTAGAAATAGCTAACCCTCCCAGCGGCTGCGACTTCTGGGGCACAATCCCATCACATCACAAGTTCAAAACCAAAGGTGATGTGGGTTTGTCTCAAAATAGGGGAACCTCCAAAATGGGTGGTGTCCATTTGGTTTTCCTTTAAACCAACCCCGAAAGTGGAACGACCAAAAGAATCACAGCCACCAATGTTCAAATTGGTTTCCAGTGCTGCGCATCCGCTTGGCCACTTTGGCTACCTGTAGAGGTTAGAAACCCCGAAAACTCTGCAGGAGGTGTATAACCTTTCCCTTTGAACCAAACCCAAAAGTGGACCGCATGAAATCTGTAGGAGGTTTATAGCCTCAGTCCATTCGTGCCAAAGAAGGACCCATGGTTACCAGGGCCAAGCCTAAGGGCCAAATTTGTGACCAAGCGGCTATGAACTTAAATAGGGAACCTCAAGAGCTGGACACGAAGCAACTGACTCTTCTTTGACTTCATGATGTCCATCCAATTGAAATTCTGATCCCTGAGGTTTCTTTGTCTAAATGATGTCGAAAAAAAAAACAAAAAACCTTCCGGTCTGGCCTTCCAAGGCCTCGGTGAGTTTTCAAGGGAAGCCTTTGTGCAGCCACTCACTTCCCGAGTGGATGGGCCCCGAAAAAGGGGCAAGCCACGCTTTTATCTAGGTCCTCCAGTAGAGAGGATAGAAAGAGGGTACCCGATTTTTTTTGCTGTAGGCTATTTTAGCAGGGGAACCCTCCCCCCAAAAACGGGAAAAAGGGCACTACTGGGGGACCTATTATATTTGCCGACTGAAGTCCAACAGGGGAAGGGCGCCAAACCAATTTGAGACCTCTTTCACTCTTTCACCTCCAGGCAATTTAACCGCCTGACCTTTTTCTGGCTAGTGCCATAGGGAATGAGAAATGGGATGACCCCTAATTATAAACCATCTCGTAATTTCCCGTAAGGGAATCACAGTAGGGAATCAGAAATGGAATGATTTCTAATTTCCAACTGGTGGTTTCCTCTAATCGGGAATCCCCGGCCAGCTCATTCCATTTCACATTCCCAGCCCATCGCACCAGCAAGAAAAACTGGGGCGAACTAAAAGACCATCTCATTTCGTCGTGGGCAAATCCAAAAGGCCCACATGCACCCCCCCTCCCCCCCCCTCCCCCCCTCTCCCCTTCCCCCCCCGACCGATTTCGCACCAGCTGGGCCTTTCGCACCCGCCGGAAGCAGCGCTGGGCCTCCGGCGCTCCTCGTTCCTTTCCGCCGCCCAGGCGGCCACCTGCAACGAGGCGATCGACGGTCGCGTCGGGTGCAAAGACGACCCCAAGCCGCGGGCCTCGAATCTGTTTGGTCGGGAAACCACACGGGCACCCTGTTTTGTGGTAGTCGGTTAAGGAGTTTCTCCCCAACAAATTGTTGAACAGGGAAGCAAGCCACTGGGTGGCACGGATAAAGATTGAGTTAAAGACCAGCCGATTTCCAAGGTTTCCTTTCGGGAGGGGATTCCCAAATGATCCATTCCCAACACCTGGAATGGTGATTCCCTACTTCGTGAAATCTTTTCAATGGTGGTTTCCCAAATGATCACCCCATGTTTTACGGACCAACCGATCAACCCCCATTCCACCCGAGAAAAAGTATGCATGCCGCCATCTTGTGGCAAATGCCAAGGCAAGAGGACACAAAGCTTCTGTGGCCGTTTTCCGACGTGCCCTGGTGTCTTCCAAATGGATGGAAGGTGTTTGTTCCTGCGCCCCTTTCACCCTCGACGAGAAAAGAGACGAGAGAGAGAGAGAGAGAGTGGGAGCGAGAGAGAAAGTGAGAAAGAGAAAGAGAGGAAAAAATACAGAAACAGAGCAAGAGAGCAAGAGAGCAAGAGAGCAAAAGACCAAGATGGCAAGAGACAGAGAGAAAGAGAGAATGTGAGAAAAAGAGAAAGTGAGAAAGTCAGAAACGAAAGAGAGAGGAAGAGAGCAAGAGAGCAAAAGAGCAGGAGAACAAGAAAGAAAGAGAGCAAGCGAGAAAGTGGGAAAAAGAAAGAGAGACAAGAGAGCAGGAGAGCAGGAGAGAAACAGAGAATGAGGGAAAGAGAGAAATGAAGAAAACAAGAGGAACAAAGAACGGAGAAAGAGATAATGAGAGATGAGAGAGAGAGAGAGAGAGAAAAAAAAAAGAAAGTGAGAAAGCCAGGAGAGAGGAAGAGAGCAAGAGAAAAAGGGAAAGCGAGAGAAACGGAGAAAGATGGACAGAGAGAAAGAGAACAGAGAGAGAAAAAGAGAAAGAGAGATACCAACAGGAAGCTGTTTAGGTTCGTGATGGTTACTTTGTAACTAGAGATGCACGGAAATCAACCTCTGGGACGGTCCAGCACCGGCACCAGCACCAGCGCCAGCGCCAGCCAAACCAGTCCCAGCGCTAGTAGCAATGATACTGGCCATGAATCCATCATCCATCTAGGTCTGCCTCAAAACATGGATTCCTTAGTGGTTTGGTTTGGTGGTTTGGAGGTTGGAGGGCAGCTTCCCATCAACCCCCAACAAGGACAAGGTGGTCTCAAAGCAAAACCAAAGGCGGGAAGGTCCAACCTGCTCTTCGAGGGTGCCCATTTTTATTGGTGGCTGTAAAGGAAAATCCCTTTGGGAACACCCTCGGTTGCTTTCTGCTCCCCTGCTAAAAGTTCAACTTGTAGTGGGTTTAATGGAAAACCCACTAGTTGGCAAAAAGTTAAAGTCCTAATATCCAAGCAAAATGCACCTCTGCACCACGCACCGAGGTCCTCCAGTAGAGAGGTTAGAATAAGGGTACCATTTTTTTCCGTCGTCTATTTTATTAGGGGAACCCTCCCAACCAAAAAAGAAATGGGTGAGAGGTCGGGCACCCTTTCGCTGGGGGACCTAGAGACTCAATTTGGGAAACCACGGGGCCAATCGACCAATCGACTGCCGCGTTTCCGCCGCCTCGGTGGCGCTGGGCCCTTCGGACGTTTTCTGCTCTGCGAACTCCTGACGTCCGCTTTGGTCGATGCAAAGCCCCCGGTTCTCGAGCCCGGTGGCCCGGTGGCCACATGGCCCCCTAAAACTGCGCCCCTAAAAAATACCAACAAAAACAGTGGTTGAAGATATAGCTAGATATGACTGCGGGTCAAAAATGGGGTAACCCCAAAATGGCCTGCCCGCGGAAATGGAAAAATGGAAACGAACATCTGCGGTCCGATTCCTGGTGGTTTAATTTTGACCCATGCCCACATCTTTTTGGGGTCGGCGATTTCTCTATGGCCATGGAAAAACAACACCACCTCAAAACTTGGTTACTGCAACGGCCCCTCGGCAAAAACCAGTCTCGCTTTTTGTGGGTTTAATACGGACAAACCCCTTGATTTCAAGCAAAAAGTTGAAGTCCAAAGATCCAAACCAACAGCAGTCAAGGCCTTGCTGTCCCAAGAGGCAGAGAGGGGGGGTGCTGATGAGTTTGTGTTGCTTTCCCCCCCCCCCCCGAGTTGATTCAAAATGATTCAAAGCACACTGATGAGCGGTTTGTTTGCTTTTTGCTGTTTCCCCAAGCACAATCACTGCTTTTGCCACGTCTCACAAGTCGAAGGTGGAAAAAAGCACCTTGATTCGGACTGTCGAACTCGGGATCTTGACTCTCTAGCTCTGGTTTTCTCGGATTGGAAACCACGTTGCCCTTGGTTGGCTGTGACCTGAAACCACCCAACCTAATTTTCACTTGGCCTTCCAAGTTGAGATTCTCAACCCACTTGAGATCTTGACTCTCTCTCACTTGCCTCACTTGTCTCGCTCCCCCCCGTCCCAAAGGCGAAACGACCGGACGCCCGCGCGACGTCTTCGGCTTCCGGTTCTCGGCTTTCGGACGTCGCCACCCGTCGCCTGCTGGGTGGACTTGAAGTAGTGCCTGCCCGCGGCGAAGCCCAAGATGAAGCCGCAGTTGGCCATGACGTCGAGCGAGAAGATGATCCTCGTGGTTCAAAAAAACAGTTGCAAAGATTCCCTTTAAGACCAAGGGAAACCAAGATGTCCTCAACTGGCTCGTTGCCCCAGACCAACAAAGGGAACAAAAAAAAGAACAACATGGTCTTAAGCATCCTCAACTTGCTCTCAGTTGCCCCATTTCGGGGACCCAGAAATACATGGTGATCACCAAGTTGTGGGGAGATGACTAATCATGTTGTTGAAAATATTCCCTGTAAGACCAACAAGGGAAAGAAGCAAAAGGAAAGAAAAAACAACATGTAGGTGACTCAGAAATAAATGGTGATCACCGTTTATGGGGCCATGACTTATCATGCTGTTGAATTTTATTCCCTTTAAGACCAACAAGGGGGGAGAAAAAAAACTGTTTTTAAGCATCCTCAACTTGCTCTCACTATATACGGGATAACTTGCTGGTGCTCAGTAGGAATGTAGGAATGAACCCAAAAGTCCCCTTAAAGGAAACCACGGGTTACAACGGTCATTTCCTCATTCCCTGCTGAGCACCAGCAAGATACCTAGGGGCAAAGGGTCCAATATTCGGGGCGCGGACGGTTTCTGCAGTTTTTTTTCGCTGAAAAAGCAGCGACTGCCCCATTTAGGGATTAGGGGACCCGGAAATTTGAGGTGGTGATCACCTCTTGGGGCCATTTGACTAAAAAGGGGAAACCAAAGGGTCAAAAGGTCGATTCGCTTTGGGCAAGTGAGTGCAGGTTCGATAGGCAGGGAATATGGAAGGCAGGGAATAAGAAATGGAATGCCCCAAAAACGAGAACAGGTTTTCTTCATTCGGGAATCCCCAAAAAAAGTTAATTCCCAACACCTGGAATGGTCATTACCCACCTATTGCACCGGCAAATCAAAGTTCCACGCCACGGCTAGGTGCTTCGCACCAAACATATTTTTCTGACATCGGATCTTTCGCTGTCCAAAGGCTTGGTCAAGCAAGCTTTGTCCGCACCTGCGATATATGGGGCTGAACCTTAGGCCTCTACCTGCTTTCGCACCACAATATTCCACAAATCACAACATGTTTGATTCTGGTCCGCATTTCGTGAAACCCAATGGAAGGGGCTAAACCATTCAAGATGCAGCTATGATCTTGACTGGATTCTTGCGAACCGGGCCATCTTGAGAAACCCGAATTATTTAAACATGCAGCTGCCGGTTTCCTTCTGAAGTGGGGGGGTCAGAACCTGGCTCGACAGCATCCACGAAAACAGCAGCCCTGAAGTCGTATCCAAACCTTCAGCGCCTCACCCCTCACCCGGCTTCCAAAACAAACCCTAGCATGCGGCCTTCAGGCCTTCTCTGGAGAAAAGCGCAGGGAGCAAGGTTTAGTTGGAGGGTTTCAGGCGGCGGAGTTGGATCCGAAAGGTGGGGAAATCCGAAATGACGAGTCGTTTTGAAGCTCAAAGTGGTACCAATTTGTGTGCCCCTTGGATGGAAAGAAAGAATAACACCTGCGGTTTGCCCCAGCTCTTGAATGTTGAGCCACACCTACGTGGAAGGAAACTTCAACTCCAAAGCTCGGAAACCTCCCGCAACTCCACTTCGGGAGCGGAGCAATCCAGCAACAGATCAATCGCTTGCGGGAAATCGCCGGATTCTCGTGAGTTTGGACAAGTTCTGAACAGAACCAATGAGATAAGCGAATGTTTACACATTGTGTAAACAAACTCATTCAGGTTTCCCGGCGGCAAAGACCCCTCGATGTGTACCCGCTACGTTCCATGGCTACTAGGTCCTCCAGTAGAGAGCTTAGAATAAGGGTACCATATTTTTTCTGTAGTCTAATTTAGTAAGGGACCCCTCCCCCAAAAAAAATGGTCAAAGGCCACCTAGCTGGGGGACCTAGGCTAAGTTCCCTTGTGGCTCCCGCGCCGCTTTGCCGCTGCAACCCGCCGCTTGATTCGGCGAAACCGAAA